TCTTTTTTTTTTTTTTTGTCTTTCTATTTGCTTTGTAAATGTTCCTCCATCCCTTGGTTTAGAGCCTTTGTGTGTCTTTGCATGGAACATATCTCAAAATAATAAGAGCTATTTATGACAAACCTACAGCCAAAATCATATTGAATGGGCAAAAGCTGGAAGCATTTCCTTTGAAAACTGGTACAAGACAAGGATGCCCTCTCTTACCATTCCTATTCAACATAGCTTTGGAAGTTCTGACCAGAGCAATCAGGGAAGAGAAAGAAATAAAGGGTATTTAAATAGGAAGAGAGGAAGTCAAGTTGTCTCTACTTGCAGATGACATGATTTTATATTTAGAAAACTCCATTGTCTCAGCCCCAAAACTTCTTGATCTGATAAACAACTTCAGCAAAGTCTCAGGATACAAAATCAATGTACAAAAATCACAAGCCTTCCTTTATACCAATGATAGGGAAGCAAAGAGCCAAATCTTGAATAAACACCCATTCCTAATTGCTACACAGAGAATACCTAGGAATACAGCTCACTAGGGACGTGAAGGACCTCTTCAAGGACAACTACAAATGGCTGCTCAAGGAAATAAGAGAGGACACCAACAAAGAAACATTCCATCCTCATGGATAGGAGAAATCAATATCATGAAAATGCCACACTGCACAAAGTAATTTTTAGATTCAATGCTATTCGCATCAAACTACCATAGACATTTTTCACAGAATTAGAAAAAAAAACTATTTTAAATTTCATATAGAATCAAAGAAGATCCTGTATAGTCAAGATAATCTTAACCAAAAGGAACAAAACTAGAGGCATCATGCTACCTGACTTCACACTGTACTGCAAGGCTACAGTAACCAAAACAGCATGGTACTCTTGCCAGAATAGACCCACCAACTCATGGAGAAGTGAGGCCTCAGAAATAACACCACACATCTACAACCATCTGATCTTTGACAACCCTGACAAAAACAAGCAATGGGGAGGGGATCTCCTAATCAGTAAGTGGTTGCTACTTCAACTTTGTTTATTAATGGTTTGTTGAACCTTTTTATTTCTTCTTGATTTAATCGTACTATGTTGTGTGTTGCTAGAAATTTATGTATTTTCTCTAGGTTTTTTAATGTTGACATACCACTGTTTATAATAGTCCCTTATAATCCTTTTCATTTCTGAGGCATCTGTTGTAAGGTCTCCTCTCTAATCTGTGATTTCTTTTTTTTTTTTTCCCTGAGACAGAGTCTCACTTTGTTGCCCAAGTTGGAGTGCAGTGGTGTGATCACCGCTCACTGCAACCTCCACCTCCCAAGTTCAGGCAATTCTCCTGACTCACCATCCTGAGTAGCTGGAACTACAGGGGTGCACCACTACACCTGGCTAATTTTTTTTTTTTACTTTTAGTGGAGGTGGGGTGTAGGGCATATTGGGAGCCAGATGTAGGGCTGAGGGCCCCACAGTGTCGTGGGGTGACCCTTACGCTGTGCTGAGGCGCAGGATCCAAGAAATAAAGAGACAGGACACAGAAGTACAAAGAAAATGCAGCTGGGCTCGCGAGACCACGCCACCTATAAGTGGCGAGCGGCTGGTGAGGCCCCGAATGTCCAGAAGCATAAGTATTTATTGTTTATAAGTTAGGGGTTAGGGCAGTGAGTGAAATCATCTTTAAGGATAGTGATAGGGTCGTGAGCAATAAAACATAGGGTCCACCCCCATTAGGTCACTGAGGATTGAAGGTGGGCCATGCAAAGTGAAGAGTGTGCAGTGTGCGATACTTCTATCTATGGGAAAACTACTTCTAAGAAGATTTATAGGAGGATGCCTTAAGTCACATAGCAGTGACAGAGCTGTCAAGGTTACCGCCACCTTCTGGCAGCTTCCGATGGATTCTATGGGAAGATGCTTTTCAAGCAGCACAGTAGCAAGAGCTGATAATGTTCACAGTCACCAAGGTGGATTGCCTTTCTGAGGGCAGCCTTCCACAAGAACTGGAGCAAGGTCCTACAACTCCTTTATACATACAGTGGGTATCTTTACGATACTGAACGCTGCCGCCTGGGCCATGGATTCTTGTCCTGGTATAATTGTCTTTCCCTTAAATCATGCTCTGCACTGTCTCTCTAGGCATTCCTCCAATTATAAGCTACTTATTCTTTAATTCATGCTCTGTACTGTGTCCACTCTAGGCATTCCTCCGATTATGAACTAAGATATAATTATAGGTATATATGTAGGGAAATATTCTTTAGGCACTCATACTATCAACTATTATATGATTATATATAGAGGATTATATAAAGGGAGACTTCAAGCCCTATTTCTATAAACTAATATATGATTATGTAAAGGATATATAGAAGGAAATAGCTGAGTAGTAACACTATAAAGTGAGATATTCCTCAAGCCCTAGCTGTGCCAGGGCTCTGCTTAGTTCTCATTCCTCGGTGCCTATATGGGGGGTTACCCACAGTGGGGTTTCTCCATGTTAGCCAAGATGGTCTTGATCTCCTGACCTCATTATCACCCACCTTCGCCTCCCAAAGTGCTGGGATTACAGGTGTGAGCCACAGCACCTGGCCTGTGATTTCATTTATTTGAATCTTCTGTCTGCCTTAGTTGGTGTAGCTAAGGATTTTTCACTTTTGTTTATTTTTGTAAAAAAAAAAAACAAAACCACTTCTTTTATTGATATTTTTCCTATACTTTTTCTATTCTCATTTGATATATTTCTGCACTGATCCTTATTGTTTCCTTTCTTCTGCTACTTTTGAGCTTAGTTTGTTCTTCTTTTTCTAGTTCCTTTTGGTGTAATGTTGAGGTGTTTATTTGTGATCTCTGTTCTTTTAGATGCCCATGTTTATTGCTATAAACTTTGCTTTTTCAGCTGCTTCTGCTGTGTCCCATAAGTTTTGGTTTGCTTTGTTTCCATTTTCATCTCTATATATTTATAAATTTTCCTTATAATTTCTTATTTTTGTTTTGGCACATTGGCTGTTCAGATGCATGGTTTTTGATTTCTTATATTTGAGAATATTCCAGGTCTTTTTTTCCTGTTATTAATTTCTACTTTTATACCATTATAGTCAGAAAAGATTTGGATATATTTTTAATCTTAAATTTGTTAATCTTGTTTTGTGATCTAACATATGATCTATCCTGGAGAATATTTCATGTGGGCTTGAGGAGAATATGCATCCTGTGAATGTTCGACATATATCTCTTAGGCCCATTTGATTGAAAGTATACGTGAACAAAAAAGTATAGGTGAAGTCCAACATTTTCTCATTAATTTTCTCCTGGATCATCTTCCTATTGCTGAAAGTGTGATATTGAAATCTCCTTCAATTATCGTATTGCTGTCTATTTCTCCCTTCATATCTGTTAATATTTGCTTTATACATTTAGGTGCTCTGATGGTGCTCATGTATTTATAATTGTCATGTTTTCTTTTTTAACAGTTTTGAATATAAAGGCTATTTTATCTGATAAACAGCTACTTCTGCTCTATTTTGATTTCCATTTGTATGGGAATTGTTATATTTTCTTTTTTTACAGTTTTGAATATAAAGGCTATTTTATCTGGTAAACAGGTACTCCTCTATTTTGATTTCCATTTGTATGGAATATCTATTTTCATCCTTTCATTTTCAGTCTCTGTGTTTCTTTACAAGTGAAATGAGTCTCTTTTAGGCAGCATGTAGTTGGGTCTGTTTAAAATTTATGTAGCTGCTCTGTGTATTTTATTATTTTTAGACCATTTATATTTAAAGTAATTATTGATCAGTAAAGATTTACTATAGATATTTTGTTTATTGTTGTCTATATATTTTATAGATTATTCCTTTCCTCCCTTCTTGCAGTCTTTCTTTGTAATTATGTAACTTTCTGTAGTAGTGTGCTTTGATTATTTTTTTTCTCTATTTTGTATCTACTATAGATGTTTGCCTTGGGGGTACCATGAGGCTTATGTGAAACATCTCCTAGTTATATCCAACTTAACTTGACTCACATAGAAGAGGTGGAAATTTCTAAATGAAGCTTACAACTGGGAGTTCAGGTGTTTATGTTTTAGGAATCTTCAAAATTTATGAGATCTCTAGAGCTGTAGCTGCCACTGTAATGAGCTGCAAGGATTCATTTCCTGCCAAAGGGTAGCTAAATCATGTCTCTTATGGAACCCAACAGTGACTCAGACATTCAATCATTTCTCTGGTCATTCATTTACAAAAGATTCATTAAACTACTCGGTGTGAGAAACTGCTCCATGGCTTAGTGATACCAGTGTAAACAAAGCACGTTTGCGCTGATTGTAGCAGTTGTATGGTGGTATAAAAGCTAAACATGATATTGGAAGCTTTTCAGAATTAAAACTGTGTGACCTAGGGCAAATCCAAACCTCTCTGATATTAGTATCTTCAACTATTAATTGGGATAATATCTGTCCCAGATAAATTGTCTTCAGGTGATCAGATATGCTAATGTATGTTAATGCATGTGGGAGTACTTTTTAATGGGCATTTTAAAAAATTTGCTTTTTTTTTTTTTTAAACATAGACAACCTGTTAAATAGCATTTCTTCTCAAGTGTTCAACTTGGTAAAGAAACATGATGACCAGAATGTCGAAGGTTTGAGCATGTCTTACGTGTTTTAAAACTAGATTCATCACTAGAACTGTTGCCAAAAGAAAGCACATTGACAATAATGAATTTAAGATCTGTCAAAACACAAGTGATAGAAATTCATCTTCACATTTTTAGTGCTCTTATTAGGAACTTTTATTTTTCCCAAATGAAACATGGTTTCACATCTTTATAGCTGTTCCAACTTTAAAAATTATCCAGCATGTTCCTGAATTTAACAGGTTTTAATTTCTAAGTTATTCTCTACCTTTCCATGCATTGCAACCTGGAAGCAAATATGAAATCCATGAATACACAGTAATATTTTCAGCTATTTATTATTTCACTGACTAACTTGTTCTCTCATTGGTAACATATTAAAATAATATATTTAAAAACATTTGTACAGCTTGGTAAATGAATGAGTATGAATATATCTGACCCCAGGGATATTCTTCCAAATGTCCAGTAGGCTAGGAAGAAATATGCCGAGAAAAAAGTATGCTGGTATAATGTATCTGGTTATAATTTATTACAACCTTCTTGTCTGGATTAATTATTGTGTGAACACATTTTAAAATGTCACAGAAGTAATGTGTCATGATGAACCTATATAATTAAAATGTGGTTTACCATTTCCTTTTCTCAGATTATAAATTATTGATGTTGTGATTGTATTAGTGAGGCTTTGTTAATTCCTCTCATGTTTAATGTCTGCCCAGAGAAATAGATTTGCTTATAATATTAATCAACAAAAAGATGGATGGTGAGAGTTCATTTCCATGGTTGATCTGATTTGTAAAAGGCTAATACAGTTATATGACTTCAATGTTATGTTTATTTCTCTATTCTGTGTCATCATCTAGTAGCTAAACAGATTGGAAGTCCCTTTTGGGGTCAGTGCTCACATAGAATAGCAAAGCTGAAAATCAGTCGTGCACTGAGATTAAAATGGAGTGGTTAGGAACATGAAAGTGGGGAGAAATATGTAAACAGGAAGAGTATAAAAGAGTGGAAACAGCGTTAGTCACATGAAAGTAGTTCTGGAGGAAGGATTCAGGAAGATACGGCATTTGCAAAGGTCAGGTCCTGCCACTTCCCAGGGTTAGTCGATCTCATAGTTATCATATCCATGCCTAACTGACCGGGTTATATTGTATGTGTGTTTTTAATTCATAAGAAGTAAAGTATAAATGGCCAACAGGTCTATGAAAAAAATGCTCAGCATCACTAATAATCAGGGTTGTCATTTTCCCCAGTTAGGAGAGCTATTATTAAAAAGACAATAAATGCTTGCAAGAATGTGAGAAAAGGGAACTCTTACATACTGTTGATGGGAGTGTAGTTTAATACAGCTATGAAGGTAAACAGTATAGAGAGTTCTCAAACAACTAAAAATGGAACTACCATATGATCTAGAAATCCCACTCCTGGGTATTTCTCCAAAGAAAAGGGTATCAGTATATCAAAAGGAGACCTGCAACCCCATGTTTATTGCAGCACTGTTCACAATAGCTAGAATATGGAGTCAACCTGTGTGTCCATCAACAGATGAATGGTAAAGAAAATGTGGTATATATACACAAGGGAATTATATTGAGCCATAAGAGAGAATAAAAATCTTTTCATTTGCAGTAACATGGATGAAAGTGGAGGCCATTAAAGTAAGATAAATAAGGCAGACGTTGACAAGTAACACATGTTCTCACTCATATGTTGGAGCTAAAAAATGCTGACCTCATGAAGGTAGAGTGTAGAATGATGGTTACTAGAGACTGGGATGGGTTTATGTGTGTTGGAGGGGATAGTGGTTAGTCAATGGTTGCAAATATTAGTTAGAAGAAATAAATACCTGTGTTCGATAGCACAGTAGGGTGACTATAATTAACAATATGTATTTCAAAATAGCTAGAAGATTTGAAATGTTCCTAACGCAAATAAATGATGAATATTTGGGGTGATGAATATCCTAAATACCTGATCCATAACCTAATTTGATCATTATACATTCCACGAATGTATCAAGGTATCACATGTATGCCATAAAATATATACAAATATTATTGGTAAATAAATTGCAAAGAATTATGTATTATAACCAACAAAAATAAAAGACCAAGGAAAAGTAATCCTTTAAATCATGCAGGGGAATCTTCCAGTGAGTTCCTTCAATGAACAGGAACGGACTTTCCCTCATGCCTTTTAAAGTGTCAGCATCTTGCTAAGCTAAGTGGAACTTTTGTATTTAAACACAGCACAGATTTGAATAATGTATTACCTTAAGTGAAAACCAAACATTTCATAGTGATTGATTCAAATGCTGGAAAAAAAAAAAACAGAAATGAGGCATTTTTGAGATACATTTTCTTTTTTCTTATCTGAGTATTATCAGTGATCTATATTTTTTTCTTCACCTAATAGACTAATGTTAGAACCTAACCCAGGAGTAAGCTGTGACTCCATTGCATTCTCCATTAAGAAGAAATAAAATTTACTCAGGCCAAGTAGCCCAAGGCAGATACTGGACACTGCTAGATACTTCAGGACTAGGCAGCAGCTGCCTCGAGTCAGCAGACAGCTAATAAAGAGGCAGGCACATCCAGGATGGTAGACAGGTTTCGGAGACAAGTAACAGTGGGTAGGAAAGTACAGCTACTGGGATTTCAGGCTTAAAAAAAGATCCCAGAGATGAAGAGATGAGCAAATAAAGGGAGAAGAAAACAAGAAAGAAAGACTAGTAAATGATATTACAATCTGATCAGAGTGTAGAAGTCACTTGATTTCTGATATATTGGATCAGTCTCAGGTTATATGCCAATTAAGTACAATTAACATTTTAGCCATTTCTTTGCTTCGAATACCCAAATATTTTATTCCATAATCAAATTTTCTTTTTTTCTGTTTGTCTTAACATTGTTTGGCCATGTTAAACATGTATGTATATTGGAGGAATCAAAGATGTCTTATATATTTAAAAATAATTTTGTATAGTACAGTTCTTGTTAGGGTATAAACACATTTGATTGAAGAATTTTCTTTGCTCTTAGATGACACTAAGAGGAAAAAATACAGCAAAACTATAAAAAAATTATGGTGCAAGTAAAATAGCAATATTAACTTTTTGCTGTTAGTATGCCAGGGATACTTAAAATTTGTTGTAGATTGACTACCGCAGAAAACAGACTCAGATGGAAATGAGTGTGAAGGATGTTTCTTAGGGAGTGGACTTGGGCTCAGCATTTGGGGTGCAGGGAAAGGAAGGAATTAGGGTTGGGCATAGGAAGAATTGGGGCTGTGATGCATCACAACAGGGATGCAGCTGACTCCAAAGGGAGCCCTGAAGCTTGGGTAGCCTCACAGAGTTGTTCCTCTTTGGGGAGAGGGGCTGGTTGTTTATCCCCAGTACTTGGGTAGGGATTCACTAGAGAAGAGGTAATCTCTTTCAGCGAGGTCATACCAAGCTCAGGGTATATGTCCTTGTGTCTTGAAGGGAGTAGGGCAGAGAGATCTGGGCACTGCAGTATTCATTACAATTCCTCCATATTTCTGTGGCTGTTTGTCTCATATAATTTCTCAGGCTGGCTCTTTTAGGACTCTGGTGGGACTTTCTCTTTGGAGAAACTTGTAAGGTTATAAGGGAAAAAGGTTAGTAGGACAAATTGCAGCCCCTGCTGCTACTGGGGAGGCAGAGCTCTAGCCTAAACTCTCTGATTCATTCAAGAGCCCTTTACCTTAGTTCTTACAATGGTAGAAGGATGCTAACCTTGTGAGTAGCCCTTAACTTCCTTCCTGTGTGGACCAAGTTCATGTTTACCTTTCTTAGGCTATGGCTATGGCAATTATGGGTTTATGATTAAAATTAGGGGATGGAATACTAATGTGTGCCAAGCACCTTGGTGTGAAGCTGATTGCTCACTTCTCCAATGTGTAATAGCAGCTTTCCTCTGATGACTAGGCCATGTACCTTTTCCAGGGTGGCAATTATCCCTATTCTGTTTGCTGTTGTTTTTGTTGTTGTTGGCCCTGGACACAAGGTGCCCAAAATGTTGAAATGGCAGCTGTATTTTCTATCTGCTGCTGGAAGAGTCCTCTACACCTGTGGTGCCCATAATTGTGGAAATGGGAAGCACGCATTCCAGAAGTAGGTTACTGGGGGTGATAGTAACAGGAGCCATTGTGGCTTCCATGCCTTAATTCTGAGACCCATATATTTTTTCTTTGGGGGATAATGCATCAAATAACGGTCATTGATTTAGCATGCACATTGTATACTGGAGGATGGTGCCCCGTTGTTAATTTCTAATAATGTTTAGAAATTTTACAAATGTTTCTAAACATTATTATAAATTAATGTCAATACCACTCAGAGTTTCTGAACACTGCTCTGTGTACATATCGTCTAATGGAAGAACGCTAGGAAAAACTCCCGGGAGCACTAATATCTTAAACCGAACTTGCCATTGTGTATCAAAGACTCTGCTAATGATGCAGCCTCCCAGTACAAACAATACATATGACTTGTCCTCAGCTCTTCAATCTGGGTTTGCTCTAGAGTAGAATTAGAATTTAAAACACCATGTCAGCCAACTCAGTGAAGTTCAATTGTGAGTAGAAATTCTGCTTCTGAATACTTATAGTTTAAATGGTGGCCTGTGTGTTGTAAGCGCCAGAAACTTCTTTGAAAATATGTGGGCAAAAAATGTTTCTCTAATAGCTATTGAAAGGATGCAGTCTCACTAAAGGGAATTAGACTAGGGGATATAGATTTAATTTCATTCACTGATTTAAAGTAAAATATGGTAAGAATTTGATAAATTTATGAACCCAAACTAACCAGAATCCTCACCTAAATTTTTGTTGTTGTTGCTGCTATACTCATATTTCATGAGAAGGAGACAAAGAGTAGAAACTAGTTCACACTCGAGATTTGTGTCCCTCCAAAAATCACCTTCCAGGGATGCATGAATCCCGTAAAGATTCAATCCAGTGTTCACATCCCATATTTACAATCCCTGTGTAGAGGTAATGATGTTTAAAATAATGACTTAGAAATATGATAAAATGTAAAATCATTAAAGGAAGATTCAATAATGTCCTGGAGACTGTGCCTATTTAGGGAAGGAAATTTGCCTATGTACTTAAAAAATCACACACACACACAACTGAATAGACTGACATGTGTTCCAAATTCACTCAGAGTTAATCCAATAATCAATTTCCAAAGCATTCTACTCACCTATGGTCTTACTCTTCTTGATTTAACCCATGCCTCACTTGGTAGCATCTATGTCCTCAGTAGTTTAGGCAATTTTTTTTCAAAGCCCCATGTCATCAACAGTGCAAGTTTAGAGGTGTCCTGGTTCACACATGTGTGTGTCTTTCCACATGTCAGACTTCAATGGAAGAAAAACTCATCCTAATTCTCTCAGTTCTTCAGAGAGTTTCTAATCACAAAAGCCATGAGCTACATGGAGTTCCCAAGGAGACAGTTCTTAGCACTTCCCGTTCACTCCATAATCAGAGTCATGGGCAACACAGACTCAATCCATTCCACAAGTCAGTCTATATTGCATACCATACATTATAGTATATTTAACCAATATATAAATATTATAGGTTAAATATTCCACAACAAACAAGGTAACACTTAACATCAAGAGGAGAAAGAGATAGGAGAAAGGGTAAATGAGCAAGTCCCAGTGGGAGCGAAGAAGACAAAAGGATTCCTGGTCTGGTCCATTGGTCTCCCAAGGAGGAGTCTTTGATGTGGAAGAGCCTTTAGAGGTGCATGCCAAGTGCTTATCATGGCTGATTGCAAGACTGGGTTAATTAAGGCAGCTGTTTGGAGAGGCTGAAGACCTGCCATATATATATAGTCACAGAGTCCTCTAGTGAGAACCTACAATGGAAGAGTGTGCTTGTTATGTCCTTACCTGGTTGGATGCAGTCTTCACATTTTTATTTGTTTGTTAAGCAAAATATCCTTGTTGGCAAAGTCCCATATGAAATATAAAATGCACTATTTTTCTAAGATGGAGTTTAATGAAGGGGTGCTCTACACACCCAATTTCTTAGTTTTGAGGTATTTCTGGATTTACTTCCTCAGAGTTTCCTCTCCTAGTTCTGGGGGACTTTTCAATTTCTGTTGCTACCTGGTTGCCAAATATTACTTCTTTCTAGAATTCATTAAAAAAGTAAAATCCAGCAAAAATATAAAGATGTTTGTGGAAAGAAAAGTCGTATCACACAAGGAGTCAATGGAAATCTTCTTGGCCCAGTGTAATTTCCACCCTTCCTCTTGTGGCCATTCTTCAAAACATTCTGGACCTCTGGTGAAGTGTCTCTCCCCACAGGGTGCAGTCCCTAGGTCTTAGAAGGGAGTGAGTCCCTGAAGCTGATGATAATTTTTAGCTATCTCTTGGTCTCCTCTCCCTGTGTTCTGTTGAATTCTAATGAATAATATTCACATCACATTAAATTTTTATTTCTTATGAAATTGTTCTAAATTGCCATCTTGTCTCCCAGTCCTTGAAGAATAAATAGCCCTTGATCTTGCAGATCCAACAATCTTAATTCAGCTCAGCTGCCACATTTGATAGATGAGGAAACTAAAGCTCAGAGAAGTGGAAGTGATTTACCAAAAAATATTGGGTCTATTTGGAAGCAGGACTGAAGCCATAACTCTGGTCTTCCTCCTGTTAGGCCAATGCCCCTGTCTACTTGTGTCATTTTTTGCTTCATTCCAGATTGGCAAGATTGTAATAATGAAAGATGACAGGGTTGCTTATGCACCTTGTATTCTTGTCTATTATAACTATAAACCCGAATGTATGTTTCCCAGAATAGTTAATCATCTAGTAGAAGAAGATAGTGTGATTTCTTGTCCTGTAAATCATGAAAAAACACCTCCTGTACCTTCTCTTAATGTTTGCCATCTTGTTTTTCAGGCTATAAGGAATTGGTCTCAGTGTAATTGTGTATAAATACTGCCCATTGGTCTCTCCTTATTACTAGTTGCTGACTAACATTACAAGGTAATAATTGGTTATACTGTATTAGGAGAATAACAGTTTATAACAATATTACTTGCAATAAACTTCATATTTTCTTTTCCTATTCAGTGAAGCAATTGTTTAGTTTTATGGCTACACAGACAGTTTTTCTTTCATAGCTAAGTTTATTTTGTCATAAGGCAATGAGGTGCACAAAAGTATTAACAACTACAGGAAACCAACATCTAGCAAAGAAATTTGAAGATCGTGTTCACCCTGAATAAACAAATGCCTTTAAGAAAATTCTTCCAACTTTTAACTTCAAACAGAAAAGTTGAAAAAAAGTACCGTAAAGACACATGTGCCCCTTATTTAGATTCACAAATCAACACTTTCTGGGATTGGCTTTTTGTGTCTCTATGTCTCTTTTCCTCTTCACATACACACTCATTTTCTCTCTCTTACACACATGTACATATACATGCACACACTCAGATTTTGGGGAGCTCTGAACTGCTTGAAAGCAAATTGCAGGCATCAAGATTATACAAAAATACTTAAGGGATTTTTCCCAAAATTAGCACATTCTTTTATATTACTACAATAACAATCACAAGACATCTGCTACTGATAATTAATATTATGTAGTATACAGTCTAAATTTAAATGTCTCCACTTGCTCTCAAATATTCTTTATATTAGTCAGGGATCTTATATTGGATTTTTTGGTCATGTTTCTTATTTTCATCAGTCTAGAATATTGCTTCCCCTCCACCTTTTCCCTCATCTTTTACAACCTTGACATTTTTGAAGAGTCCAGACTAATTGTCTCATAGAATGTTTCTCAAACTGTATTCAGCTAACTGTTCTTCTGGATTAGACAAAATGTTTAGGCAAATATTATGTTTCCCATTGCATTGCATCAGGAAGTTTATAATGTCATTGCATCTCAATATTTGTGAAGCTAAGTTTCATCTCTTCTATTTAAATTCCGTACTTAATAAACATTTGATGGATAATAGAGATATATGAATGTCCTTTTCCTAACAATATGTTAGTGTATAGTGTTAGGAGTAATTTCATGCCAGAATCTCATATTACCTTGGTGGTATTTGGAAAACAGTGATTTTAAAACTCAGACATTTTTCTAGATCAGGGGCCAGTAGAGTTTTCCAGTAAAGAGCCACATTCTAAGTATTTTAGGCTTTGTGGGCCACATATGGTCTCTGTTACATATTCTATTTCTTCTTTAGCAGTGTAAAAATTATTAGCTCCTGGACTGCAGGAAAATGGTCTGCAGCAGGATTTGGGCCATGAGTAGTAGTTTGTCAAAGTCCTGTTCTGTGTTACAAAG